GAGTTTGAAATTTGGTATTGATATTCCTCCAGCACTGTTCTTTCTGTTGAGGATCGTTTTTGCTATTCGGGGTCTTTTATTGTTCCATATGAATTCAATCTGGTCTCTTTTATAACTTTCTTGCTATGGAGATCACATAGCAGTATCTTTGTCTTGCTGAGAGATGGGTAGGTGATAGACAAGATTTCACACCAGGTCCCTCTACTTAGAATCTGAGTAATTTCAGGGAAATTGTGTACCTCTCAGAGCATGGTTTTCCCTTGCTGCAAGTGCCCTGCTAGCTTGAAATGAAGCACCTGTTATGAGGGTCTAATCAAATGGAATCTTCCACTGGGGAAGCTGCTATGCTTAATGTAACAGTTTCATTCATTCATTCAACAAATCTTTGCTGAGTGCCTGCCATGTAAAAACCAGGAGGAATACATACAAAAATCGACCTAAATTGGATTTCGCTCTCCAGGAATTCATAGTATGTAGTGGAGATGCAGGACCGACCCAAATGCCTTTGTTATAAAGAGGAGCACAGTTGCTACCAAGAGATATCACGGGGGGGGGAGAGAGGACAGGGATGGGACGTGGGGAAGGGAGAGATAACTGGCAGCAAAGAGTGAAGCCAAAAGAGAGGAGAAGCCTCTGAGCTGGCACTCCGCCCCCGTCTGGTGTGGGCATGGCATGGAGACATGAGCCCCTCTCACTGCTGAAGTAGATGAAGACTGGGAAGAGCCACGGATAACACAACCCCCGCTCCAGATGTGAGAAGGAGCAATCCGCAACTCCCCAACGCATTCCACTCCCTAAAACTTGGGCCCTCTGCAGGTGCTGAGGACAGGACAGGTCAGGGAAAACAGCGAAAGGACAGGGGTAGCTGGCCACTGTCCCAGGTCGAGGAGGAGGGGCGGGACGGCCGGGGACGCCTGGTGGGAGGGCAAGCCAAGGGGGCGGGCAGAGGGTACCTGGGTGCTGCAGCTCTCTGGCCCAGCCTCAGGAGCCCGCACTGGGACTTGGACGCCGTGGGGCGGCGCTGGGCGTTGGGGATGCTGCTGGTGTTCGGGATACTGCTGCTGCGGCCACCGCTGTCTGGATCGCTGCGCGGGGCGCTCTGCCCAGAGCCCTGCAAATGTGCGCCCCAGGGCGCCCTGCACTGCCCCGGCCCGCGCCTGGGCCTCACCCGACTGTGAGTACAGAGGCAGCCTGCCACCTCGGCCCCCCCACGGGGACACCGCTCTGGCTCCCGACTTTGCCACTCTCCTTTCTCCTGTCCCCTTTGCTGGAAGCTGGAGACAGACGCTGTGCCCCCAACAAACTTCCCCGTCCTTGAACGCAAATGAGACAGATCCAGAGTGAGGGCTCTTTGGCATCCTGAGCCTCCAGAGTAACCCAGATCTCCACCCACCCCCACCCCCAGCCCCTGCGCCAGTTTCCCCATCATTAAGCCCCAGGTTGGGTAGGGGGCTCAGAGCTACTCCCAAAGCCCCAGGAGAAGGCCTAGGACTTTACTGCTGCTAGAAGGGAACGTGGCTATGATGTTCTTCTGCCAAACTGGGTCGGCGGAGGGAGAAACCTCACTTGATCTTTGAGTCTTGGCCAGCCAGGCCAGCGCAGGTTGCTGAGGCTGTGGCGCCCTGGGGTCCTCTGGGAATGGAACGTGGTAATCTGGTAGTGTTCAGGAAGAGAGATGCTAGCAGGTTCACCTCTGGAAACCTGGGCGCACCTGTCTCTAGGTAAGCCTGCCTGCGTGGAGGTGAACAGACCCAGCCCTGATCTCCACTTCCACCTCAGCCATCTTAGCTAATTCGTAAAAGGAGAGATTCTGAGAATGTATACATCCAACAAGTGGATGGAGAGAGCAGTTGCCCCAACTCATAGGGTAAAGATAAAGCCTTTACTGCCAGAGTGTCGCCGAGTCTCATTTGTTACACCTGTTGTATGACTCTGTTTACATTGAATGGCCAGATGGACGGAAGCTGCCTGGGGCTTGGGGGAGGGGAAGGGAGATGGGGAGAACATGGGGTGGGGGGAATGCTAATGCGTGTGGGTTTGGGGTGATACAAAAATGTCTACCATCAGACTGCGGTAATGTTTGTACATAAACCTACGTTTTGTTTTGTTTGGGTTTTTTATGGCATGGTATACTTTAAGTGGGTGAATTTTGTTACATGTTTTGCATCTTGATACAACTGTTGAAAGAGGAAAGGAAAGCTGGGGGAAAAAGCACCACGCTGCTGGAGGTCCTTGTCCTGTTCTAACTGCTCGGGATATGGCATTCTATGCGGAGAACCTCCCCCCACCCACACCCCACACCCCACCCTCCGCCCCTTCACATCCCTTTGGGCCCTCCGCAGCCCGTCAGGGGCCTGCCTACTGGAGGAGTTCGTCTTCCCGGTGGAAGTTAATGGCCCTCTGGGAATAATTGTGGTTGAGAGAAACAGTTTAAGGGTTGAGGGGTTTATATTAATTAGTTTCCATTAATTATCTTGTCAGCTTGGTTCCCCGAAGGTGAGGACCATGCTGCTAAAATTTATTTCAATCAATCAGCAAATCCATGGAACCTGACTTCTGAGTTCCTGCCCTTGTCCTTTGGTGACAAACACTCCCGAGTTGCTCTTGTGAATGAATGATTATACCACTCATAGCCTTTCTCACTTGCCCAGTTCTTACACAGATTAGAAGAAAGTGCGATCCAAAGAAATAAAATAACTTGCTCAAGGTCCCTTGCAACATTACAAAGATAGCACTTTATCTTCTTTTTTTTTTTGTTTTGTTTTGTATTTGCTTGTCTTTGTAAAAAAAATTACGTCTACTTTAATTAAAAGAATATAAATACTCCCCAATTCCCCAAATTTGGTAGTGGGTAGTGAGCCCCCTGTTGCTGGGAATGGGGAAGGAATGGGTGAGTCTTAGCTTTTCCCTGAGATGTTTTTTTTTTTTTTTTTCCAATGGCTCCTGCCACCGCACCTACACCAGCCTCAGGAGGAAACCTCATTCCTCAGGAAACAAACCAGAATACTTTATCTCATCATCCCATACTACAGTTTTCAGAAGTCTGGAACGCCTCAAAAGATTTTTCAGTGCTAAGGCTAAGGGCGGAAATGGGGACAAGCATAAGAGAACACAGATAGCAAATCTGGATCTCAAAAGGGCAATGGTTCTCCAGGCTCTGAAATCCTTTACCATCCATGGGAGAGTCTAAAATCCTTGACTTCCTCCTCCATAGACCTATCTTAGCAACTACAATGGAGTGTGTCTCTCCTAGACCTTTGCCCTACATCAAACATGGTAACCCTCACAAGGTGGCGCTTCCTGAGGACTAGAAAGTTGGGAGGTAACTGAGACTTTCAGTGAGAACTGTGAGATTAAACCCTCTATGGGCCAAAACAGGGTCAGATCACATATCCACATCTAATATCCACATAACGAGAGAAGCCTATGACACCATTAGGAGGATTGTGATTTCAAGGCAATGCTTCTCAAACTGCAATTGTGGACCAGCAACAGAGGCAGGCAACAACACCCAGGAAATAGAAGATGTAGACTCTCAAACCATGCCCAACATACTCAACAAAACCTCTGGGGGTATCCCCCAGCAGTCTTCATTGTAACAACTCTCTCAAGAGATCTTGATAAATACTATTTGAAAACAAGGCATTGTTCTCCACCATAGAGGTACAGACTGCCTTGAGCCATGTGCCTCCTCTACCCCACCTCAACCCCATATATACAAAGCCCATTTATTGTGAAATAAAGAGGAATAAAATTAAATGATAAACCCCAAACTCAGAGATAGATGACAAATAAGCAGGATAGAGGAAAGAGTTTTTTCTTCAAAGGGGAAATGAAGAAAGAACATGTATATAATGGGTGAGATAATGGATGAGGGAAGATGAATACTGGTTACAGGAGAGAAGCAAAATCAAGGGAAGAATTAATTTTAGCATAGAGGTACTCTAGGTCCCAAACAAGGAAGGTGGATGGCTAAAGAATAATTCAATATGGCAGCAAAGGGCAGAAGTGCACAGGTTCATGCTGATATCTGTTCTTGGTGACAAGTAAATGAAACAGGAAACCATCATTACAAGATAGCAAGATGCTGTGAATAACAAGGTATCAAGAGTTCACAGAGAGATGAGAGCTGGAATTTTAAGGTAAGGCAACCAGAAGAGAGGGGTATACTACTTATCTTCTGGATTTGGCTCTGCAGAGAAAAGAGGAGCACTGTAGGATCTGGGATGTGGAGGAGGCTGAGTGCCATACAGCACATCCTAAAATTCGTCAGCATCCCTCCATTTCTGCTGTAATCTTTTCAGGCCCTGGTGTCTCTCCTTCCTAAAGTAGAGATATTGTGTTGTTTCAGTAGAAGCAGGGAAAAGGTACATGGGTTATAATTGCTTATCACTGACAAGGCCACCACTTACAAAATTTTGAATATGGCAATGTTCAAATTGTTCTTATCGTCCCACCCTTCCCACATTTCATTAAAAAATGTAAGTATTTAAAATAAATGATACAAGAAATAGCCTCCAACATTTTCACTCATTTTAATTGGGGTAAAAATAACTGAAAAAAAACATTTATTTAACATTTTTTCTTTTCCTTCTTTTTCATATTAGTTCCAGGCAACTAGAAGGAGGGGGGGGGAGAATCTCACCTTGCACATAGTTATATAAAGATCTTTGTCTCTATGACAACAGAAAGGTTGATCTGCTTGATATGGAAGCATTTTCTGAAAAATCTGTTAGTAGGAAAATGCTAATAATAAGTGCGGCAATTTATTTTTTGCATGTTGTGCCTGCTAAATAGAGATTAAACTCTTAGACTTTATTATAAAATACTATCTGAGACTCTGGAAGGATATAATGTACATAGCTACCAGTCCAGTGTCCCAGGAAGAGTCTAGTCTCCTGACACCTTTCCTGAGTGTATCATCCTGTTCCATCTTCAGTGAAAATCAGAACCCAGAACTGTGCTCAATGTTGTAGAGATATAAAACTAGTAAGGCTGCTTCCTCTCCTAGAGGAGCTCATAGTCTAGGTAGAAGCCCACCCGGGAGACTGGTATAAGTAAATAGAGAAAGACCATATGGCTCTGTGTAGTTCAAAGAAAGAGAGCCTCCAAGAGAAGGCTGCATGGGCAAAGGGTGAAGAAGTTGGACCTTGAAAGAAAAAAAACCAGGTGAGTCCAGATAGAAGAGCCATAGGTTAAAGTAGCCTCAAAAAACAAAGGAGAAGGTAAGTCTCCACTCTACATGCTTCTCTAGAGGGTTGTACAAACAAAGAAAAATTCAGCCGGGCACCAGTGGCTCACACCTGTAATCCTAGCTTCTCAGGAGGCTGAGATCTGAGGATCGCAATTCAAAACCAACCTGGGAAAGGAAAGTCTGTGAGTCTCTTATCTCCAAGTAACCACCAAAAAGCCAGAAGTGGAGCCTTAGCTTCCGTGGTAGAGCACCAGCTCTTTGGGGCAGTGCTCAGAGCTCAGTCTGACCCAAAATAATAATGATTTAACCATTTGTTCAATATGTGCCTTTTCTGCTAGGGCAAGTTTTTGGACTTTTAGCACCTTAACACTTGAGGCTAGATAACTGTTTGGGGGACAGTTTTACCTATGGTAGGCTATTTAGTAACATCCATTGGCCCCCAACCACTCAGTGCTAATAGCATTATTCTCTCAAATGATGATAACCAAAAATAGCTCTAAATAATTGCCAGATAACATCTGGGTTGGAAATTGCTTTTTTTTTATTTGCTGTACTGTGAAGAAAAAAACCAGCAACACTTAGAGATGTCTTATTCAACTTAAGATTCCCAGAATTTTGTTATGTATAATGATTAAACTGTTTATTGAACTACACAATAATTACACTGATTAGGCAGCCAAATAAGAACAATAGACCAGTTCAAAAAAGGAAAACCTGTCTGCCAGTCAGTATGTATCACATTTAAATGTCAATTTTGAAATCTCTACCTTAGATGATGGGGAGGTAGGAAGGTGCTCTAGGTAGTAAAGGAGCTCTTTGTGTTTTGTGTTAGGTCAGCATCTAGGTCCCAGAATCTGCAGGCTGCTAGTCTATGACTTGAAAAGGAATTAGTAGGCATATTAGCTTCAGAAAAACACACCTACAGCTTACTCATACAAATATAACCTGTCTAGATTATTTTAATTCAATGTTTATTTCAT